TGATGATGATCAGATTATAACCTTTCTTTGAAAATAACTTTTAGTGTGTAGTAGAGAAAAATTCACTTAAATCCACCAAGAATATTTAACTGTTTGAGGTTGTATGTCAGAGCCCTGCTCAATGCCATTAGTCTATAAGAAAGATGTAAAGAGAATCCACTAAGGATATATGACATATCCGAGGTTGTATGTCAAAGCCCTGCTCGATGTCGTTAACCTATGTGGAAGAGATCGAGAGAATCTATCAAAAACGTATGACCTATACGAGATTGTATGTCAGAGCACTGCTCGATGAAGTTAACCTATGTGGATGAGGTCGAGAGAATCCACCAAGGATGTATGACCTATCCGAGTTTGTATGTCAGAGCGCTACTCTATGATGTTAATTTATGTGAAGAGGTCGAGAGAATTAACCAAGAATGTATAACCTATCAGAGATTGTATGTCAAAGCGCTACTCGATAATGATAACCTATATGGAAGAGGTCGAGAGAATCCATCAAGGATGTATGACCTATCCGAGGTTGTATTTTAAAACCTTTGCTCGATGACGTTAACCTATATGAAAAAGGTCGAGAGAATCCACTAAAGATGTATGACTTATCCTAAGTTGTATGTCATAACCTTTTCTCGATAACGTTAACCTATATAGAAGAGGTTGAGAGAATCCACCAAGGGTGTATGACCTATATGAGATTTTATGTAAGAGGCCTACTCGATGACGTTAACTTATATGGAAGAGATCGAGAGAATCCACTAAGGATGTATGACCTATCCAAGGTTATATGTCATAGGCCTGCTCGATGACATTAACCTATATGGAATAGGTCGAGAGAATCCACCAAGGAGTTATGACCTATCCGAAATTGTATGTCAGAGCCCTGCTTGATGATGTTAACCTGTCTAGAGGAGGTCAAATCAAATCCCCCTAGGATTGATTTTGACTTGATTGAGATGGGGTGAACGCCGTGTGTATTCTGAATCAACAGTGAAGAATGATTTATCTTTAGACCCTTACTACCTTTTTGAGGTAGAGATTAGGACCTTGTCCAAGTAGTAGAAGCCCAAAAATGGACTGTATAAATCTTACAATTATTGCATTTGCTAGAAACTTTAAGAAAATATGTTCCTAAAAGATCATCTTGGATGTTGGAAACAGTTTAGGAACTTTTTTGAATGCTGCTGCAATCATGGTTTCCCCCCAGTCCATATCTAATTTCCATGAATTTGTGGGAGAATTGGCTGATGTCAATATATTGACATAAATCACTTTTGAGATTGGATCAATAGTTACCCCCAGTCAGGAACAATATTCTCATAGACGGCGCCAAACTGCTGCATCCTAGAGTATTCAAGGCGGTAGAGAAATATAAAGTTTGACTTCTAAGCTTTGTATGAAGATCCACCACGCACACAGATAAAGAGAGAGGGTGCACCATTCATAGGAGATGCCAAGATTTTTACATGGAAACTTAAACAGGGGGAAAAATCATGGGGCCTAGGCTAGTTTGACTGAATCCACTATTATATGTAGTTGCAATTGAGGCCCTTCTTTAGAGGGAAGTCCATTGCTTGATGTACATCATATGAAGTATAATACACGGTGGGAATAAAAAGAGTCACTTTTTGCGTATTTTCTTGGTCGGAAAGGCCATAGTTGGAGAGCGATAGAGGTCAGAAGGACTATAGTTTATGGGTGACATAAGTCGGAAGGATTGTTGTCGTCGGGCGATGGATGTTAGAAGGACATCATCGAGTAGAAGTCCAGTATTGGACAGAATACCAATGTGAAAATGAAGTTTGGTGAATGTCCGGCGACTAATAGAAGTCCGGCGTCGAATAGAAGTCCGACGGAATTTCGATGGCAGCGGCGTCATGTAGGAATCTGACGATGGGCGAAAGTCCAGCATTGGTAGGAATCCAGGGATGGGTGGAAGTCCGGTGTCTTATAGGAATCCAGTGACGGGTGCAAGTACGGTGTTGGGTAGAAGTCTGTTGATGGACATAAGTCATGCGTTAGATAAAAGCCCGGTGTAAGTCCGACGATGGGTAGAAGTTTGGCGTCAGGTAGAAATCTGGCGACGAGCAGAGTTCCGGTGTCAGGTAGAATTTCTAAAAGTGAACATGTTTTCACGATATAAAAAGATATTGTTAGATATTCCATGTAGTGTGTTAATGTCTCACATATATAGTTGGGCTAACTTCTACACCGAGTTAGTTTGCTTCAAAGAAAGGAAATGCGCTGACTTCATCTTTTGGTAAAACATAACCCATGTTTCATCGTTGCCTTACCTAGACCGCGTAAAAGCCATAAATTAATTTATTAAAAAAATTATCTTAATCAAAGATAAATAAATTTGATTGTTAATACTTCCCAGAAGAAAATATGTACAATAAAATCATGAAACCCTTAATTGAATCTTAGAGAATATTCTTTATTTAAATTTAAGATAAAATATTTTAAAGAAAATAATTCTTTCGAAGCAAACAATACCATACAAAATCTTAAGTTCAACTAGTTTAAAAAGACATTGATCTCCTAAAAATTATAAATTTATAATTTAATTGCATAAGTTTTTGTTAAATATTATCTAATTATAATTTAATCATATTCAAGCATGCATTTGTGAGTTTCATTTTATAAAACAGCAAAAAATTAAAGCCAAGTAAAGTGGATAAAATAAGCATAATATATTTTTTCTATTAAATTTAATATTTATATTTCCTTGCTAATTTTATATTATAATAAGAGTCCATGATGAAGATATCGCATTGCTCTGATAAAGGACAAAAGAAGAAGAAACTATGAGGGTTGATTTGAGTCATTTCTTTGGTCATTTGAAAGACCTCGATGTGAACTTCTCATTGGTTGAACTCTTTGTGGACAACCAAAATTATGTTTTTAGGAAATAATGAAGAAAATGATTTTTTATTTTGAATGAAGGAGACGACTTAGAAGACTTTGAAAATTCTTTATTTATTTATTTTTTTGCTTTTATGATGAATGATAGACGACTCGGAGACTTTGAAAAAACTATTTTTTTTTTATGTTGGATGGTGGTAGATGCAATAATTGAGATTCAAGATGTGAGAATGTGGACTAAAACAATTGTATAAATGAGTAGAAGATTATTATTGACATATCATCAAAAAATTATCTTGATCGGGAATGAATCTTGAGGCAAAATCAAGCTGGAAACTTCAAAAATTAAATTCGGGATCACCTGAACTCCGATTTCAGTAAATTTACATTCAAACTGAGTGTCTCAGAAATACAAACCCAACGACACTAAATTCAACTCGATCTGAGCCCAAATGAGTCTGAATCGAAGACCCGAAGCGTTGTTGGCAGGTTCAAACCACATTTTGGATTACCAAACAATTTCCAAACATGACACGCTTATAGTCGAATCGAGCGAATCGACGAGAGAAATCCAACGAGCCTAAGATTACCAAATTCTGATATCGTTAAGACCATCAAATGTCTAATAAATGGTCAACAATCAAAGGATTCAATGTCGGTCATCCATCTGAACCACTCCACCTTTGCCCTTGATCCTCCTCCTATTTACGGGTCATGCTATCATCAAAAAACTATAAATAGCCCCTCATTTCTCTTGAGAGTGGATTCAAGCAAGAAGAAGAAAGGGAGAAAGAGAAGAGAAGAGAAGAGAAGAAGGATATGAGAGAAGAAACTCCTCAACCACCGCCAAGATTTTGTCCGACTTCCACCGAACATTGGAATTCTGCCTGACGGCCAAGTGACGCCGGAATTCTGCGTGATGCCCAAGTGACGTCGGAACTCTTCCCAAGTGACGTTGAAATTCTGCTTGACGTTCAAGTGACGCTGGAATTATGACTAGCTTTCCTGTGGCGCTAGAACTCAGACCGATTTCCAAGTGACGCTGGAATTCTAAGTGATTCTGAATTTAGCTCGAATACACAAATTGTTTGTAACTGGAGTTCAATCTGGAAGTAAATAATTGTAATCTGATCATCCTAAATTTTAAAGATGAGTCAGCCTCTTGTATCTCAAGCAAACACTAGTGGAATTATTTCAATTGGGCATGACCCCATGATTTTTTCGCTTTCCAGGGTTTTCTACATAAAAATCATGGTGTTATTTCATTTTCTGTTTGTATGCTGGATATCCGTAAAACGCTGAGACAAAAACTTCCTAACTCTATCATCGTGTATATTCTTTCCCGCAACAATTTGGTGTCGTATGTGAGAAACATTATCCTAAAATTTCAAGGGTTTTTTCGATGGCCAACAAGCATAGCAATCAAATATTGGGAACCTCCCGTTTAAACTCACACCAATCCAGGAGTCTTTCCATGAACTAGGGACGCCAGACATCCTCCTCTTTTTATCTTGGGGGGTATGATGGTATTGGAGAAGAAACTTCAGGGCCTTCCCTAGAAGACCATATTAGAAAGATAGAGGAATCTCAAAATGAAATCCTTCAACTCTTGCGAAAGACTCGATGACCGGCATTAGCACCTAGAGAATATATTCTTCTTGTCACGACCCGACCCGACGGGGACGGATCCCGCCCGAGCCGGACCGCGACCAAACCTCTTTATCCAGGATCTGGCTTTGGAATTTGGTTACTGAACTGAATCTTCCAAATAATTAACTCAACAGACACACCAACACAGAACAACAGAGCTACTATAAGTCACCAAATGCAGCGGAACAAAACATCTATATTTTCATTTTCCTCAAAACAATCATCTACAGATACAGTACATGGCTTTTGAACAGAAAGAAAGACAGAACAGAAAAGACATGACTGTACAAAAAATCAAAAGGTACAACCAATACATATACTGATCAGACTCTGAGCAACTATTCACTTGGGAGTTGGATCAATGTTATTTTGTGAGCTGACCCATTATAAAAAAGAAAATATATTATATTATAAATATTATAGTTTAGATTTTAATAATTACAGGGTCATTAAATTGCACAAATCAAATGCAATTGGAGCCCGACTTGTTAGAGAGGAAAAAATATAAATTAGAAACATCAAATATACAATTCTATCAATGCAAATATTTGAATTACAATATACATTAATTCAAACAGACCGAGATTCATTACAACAACGCTTTCCTTTACATTAGTAGAATGCTTTTACAAGAAGGCTTCCATGCAAATTATCCATCAATAGATCTCTTGCCTCTCCTCCTCTTGCTTCTATCACAGCACATGACATCAAGCACAACAACTACTGCCATTGAACCTCCAAATCCGACACCAAATAATATTCCCAATATAATCATATATCTTCTATTCTTTGGAGCTTGGTTGCGTAAAGTTGATGATATTGTAGTATTGTTCACTCTTGGAACTGATGTGTTACATGGAAGTAAGCATAATCCATTATTTCCTTCAAATGAAGTGTTCAGGAAAGTGGAGAATTGACCTCCAATTGGAATGTTTCCTACCAACTTATTGTAGGAGAGGTTTAAATATTCCAAGAAATATAAATAAGCCAACTCTTGTGGGATCTTACCAGAAAGGCTATTCATTGAGAGGTCCAATGACTCGAGCTGTGATAAATTCCCAAGTTGTGGAATAATTTTACCTGTTAAATAGTTATGTGACATGTTGAGCACTTGAAGAGAATTAAGTTGGCCAATTGTTATAGGAATCTCTCCTTCAAATAAATTATTGGAAAAATCTAATAACATAATGCTTTTCAATGACTTTGATATTGTCATTTGTTGCCCCTTGTTCAAGATGGTGAGCAAATCCAAATAATATTCTTGGCCGTTTACTCCAAGAATCATATCATTTTGTATTGTGTCCTTTTTATCTATCATCATTGACTTAAAATTGTTGAAGATCTCTGCACATAATTTGCCACTAAAGTTATTGAATGAGATGTCCAAGACATGTAACATAGAAAAAGCATAATTTCTTTCAAGATTTCCTTCGAAAGGCCCAACTTTCCCATGGAATTTATTTGACCTTAAAACAAGAACCCTTAGAGATGACAGATTTCCCAACCAATAAGGAAATGTGTCCTTTAAGTTGTTGTTCCCTAAGTCCAAAATCACAAGTGATTGACAATTAGATAGAGACTTAGGAATCATCTCATCTAATTGGTTGTCTCTGAGATCTAATGTTTTCATTTCACATTTTGGACTAATTTCATTGGGGATGGCTCCATGAAGCTGATTTCCTCCTATTTTTAGTAATTGCAGATAAAATCCTTTCAATAAACATGATGGAATAGAACCTGTTAACCTGTTATTTGATAAATCAAGTTCCATTAAGTTGGTCATATTGCAGATGTATGGCGGGATTTCTCCAGTCAAACTATTATTTGAAAGGATAAGGTAGTTTAAAGAATTTTGGGGAGAGGTGATGTTGATTGAGATAAAAGATGTGAAATGATTATTTGAGAAATCTAATAGTGTATGTTTAATTAATGGGAGAGGAGGAATTGGACCTTCAAGCATGTTGGAAAAGAGATCAATATAGTTAAAAAAATTAGATGTACTAAGATTAACAGGAGGCTCTGCAACATGTTTGAACATATTACAAGATAAGTTCAGATATATAATTCTCCAAAACCAGCTGGGTATTTCCCCATGAATTCTATTATTTGAGAGATCCAAGGAAATCATAATATGTGGGAAATTTATGATTGTAGGGATCTTAGTTAGATTGCAACTAGTTACTGCCAAATATGATATCTTAGGAAAGGAAGATAAGAAAGATCCATTATATGCATCCCATGAATTTAAGGAAAGTCCACTATTTGAGAGGTCCAAAAAATAAAGATTCTTAAGATCCTTGATAAACTCACACTCTAAGTCTCCACTAAAATTATTTGAACCAAGTGAAAGCACACTAAGTCCTAATATTTGAAATAAAGATTTTGGAATATGCCCTTGTAGATTGTTTTCTGATAAATATAAATGCTCTAGTTGTGATAGATTTCCTATTGAAGGTGGTATTCTCCCAGAGAATTGACAACTAAGGAGATTCAAATTTTTTAAAAACTTAAGGTTGCCTATTGTATCAGGTAAATTCCCAAAAAAATTAGTAAAAGAAAGATCTAAACTTATTAACTTACTTTCCTCTGGAAATTTTGGAAGAGAACCAGAAAGCATATGATTGTCTGAGATATCGAGATACTGTAATTTTTTTAGTAGAAATATTTTCTTGGGAAAAACACCTTCGAATTGATTCTCTCCAACTGCTAGTGAAGATAGAGAAGTAAAATTGACAAATGAATAAAAAATGTTAGAGTTCAAATTATTGCCAGTAAGGTCAAGACTATATAAATGAGGGAGCATGGAGAGAGAGGAGCAACTAGCACGCGAGAGAAAACAATAACTCATGCTCAGCACCTCAAGTGCAAGGGTGAAATTGGTTAGAGCACCACACAATTCATTATGATATAATGAGAGATTTATATTGTCAAGATAAAGGTCCGTCAAAATGCTCATGTTTCGCAAAAATATTGGTTTAGCTGTGAGCGTAAGCCCCCCAAATTCACCATTCTGATTGGAGAGGTCAAGGAAAGTCAGCTTCGTCAAGCGAGATATACCAATGGGAATTTCCCCAGCAAAACCGGCATTGGAAAGATCGAGGCTTGAAAGATTTGCAAGCTGATCCCACCCATAATTTGGAATGGATATTCCTTGAAATATGTTGTTGGAAAAATTGAGATCATGTAAAGATGTGAGTTTGAAAAGGCTAGGATCAATCATACCACCAATGAGCCGATTACTTAGGTCAAGAGCTATGACCCCTCCTGATGATTCATCACATGTAACACCCTCCCAAATGCAACAATTCGTGCTTAACTGCCATGTATCAAGGTCACCAGAAGTAAAACCTCGCTTGAGCTGGAGAAGTGCTGAGCTCTCAGCCGGAAGGCAATGACCATGAGCCTTGCAGTTAATAAAAAAAAACTTAGAAAAAAGAAAAAATGAGAGAAGTAGTAGGTGCAGAAAAATAAGCAAGTTAATACGAAACGGCTCCATTCAGAAGAAGGTGCAGAGATATAATTTAAGAGACAATGTTTGGTTGCGTTAAATAAAAAAACAAAGCCATAAAAGTTGAACTGAGTCGTCTCACCGGTCAAGATATTGCTGTGGTTGATGATGACATAGTTAGACTTTTGGCAAAAATTAAACTTTCAGGAAAGAAAATATATAATTTTTTTATTTTATGTTGGATGGTGGAATACGCCATAGTGGTTGACGCCCTAGTGGAAGCATTAAAGAATCTTTTATTTATTTATTTATTTATTGTTGGGTGGTGGAAGATGCCAAAGGAATATATTATGTGATATTATTTAAACCATTTTATTATATATATATATATATATATATATATATAGATTAGGATTAGCCATTAGATAGACACTATGGGCTCGGGAGAAGTTAACTTGATCAAGCGAGAGATATCAAAGGTAAATATTCCAAAAATACGACAAAGAAAAGATTGATGCTTGAAAGATTCACTAATTAGTCCCACTTGAATTATGGAATGGATATTTCATTGTTGAAGAATAGGAGTGTGCGTAAAGAAGTAGAATTGAAAAGGTTACAAACAATTGTACCAATGATGAGCTGATTGTTTAAGTCGACGCGATCGAATTTAGCACATGTCATGCCCTCCAAGTTATAACAGTTCATTCTTAGTATTCATTGATAGAAGTGTCAATATTTGACCTGACCCGAAATACACCTAGGCCTGACCTACAAAATTTTGAGCTCGGATCAACATGTTTGTAATACTGGTCAGGTTCGTGTTTAAGATTTTGACCAATTTGAAAAATCAGGCCAGGTTAACCTGAAAAACTGAAATCAAACTAAAATCAACAAACTTGAGCATGTTGGATCCACTTCCATCATCACTGCCATGGGCCTCGAGTACATCGTTGTTGCCAACTGTGGCGATTCATTGGTTGTTCTAAGGCAGGAAGGCACCACCATACAGCTCTTCATTGATCACAAGCCTGATCAGCCGGATGAGATGTAACAGATTCAGGCTGGTTACAGATGGGTTTGGATAGGCCACGAGTACAAGGCATGCTCGCCATGTCACATGCCATTTGTGATGGTTATTTGAAGACATATATGACAGTAGAGCTAGAGGTGACTGTAGATGGCGCTGGCAAGGCGAAGCACAAAATCATGGATAATGTTTTCAAGTTGGCGGGTCATTTCAGGTTGACCTGAATGCAAACCAATCCAAAGCAGATCAAGTTCAGATTCCGGACCCGTTTTCCTAACCTGATCGTTTTAGGGTCTGGTCAGTTGGAAACAGGTCAAGTTTGGGTTGGACTTGAATTGACTTGAAGACCCGTTTTGACACCCCTATTCATTGATGTAGCTCATCAGAGGTAAGGCCTCACTTGAGCTGGGGAAGCACTGAAGACTCTACCTAGTGATATTGGCCACGAGCATTGCAATTAATCCTGAAAAACACGACAAATAGAGAGAAAAAAAAGAGAGAGATCATCTGTTGGGATTATTTATTATAGTATTCACTATTATTTAAAACATTTTATGGATCGTATTTGAACCTGTAAAAAAGAAAAAAAAAAAAAAAAAAAAAAAAAAAAGAGAAAATGAGAGAAGTTGTTGGAGCAAAATGATCAAATTGATATGAAATGGCTCCTTGCTCTGATTAAAGATAAAAGGATGAGGAAGTCATGAGTTAACTCGATAATTAATCCTGTTAATAATTAAATTTTATCATAATTTTTTGAGCTATCAATGGAGTTGTGATCAATAATAATTTAAATCAATATGGGGTAAATTTAAACAAAGATAAATTTTAAAGTTTTATTAAATAATGGGAGTATTTTTTCATAAAATTTATAGTAAATTTTTGCTAGAGTTTTGCAATCATATTAAACATATAATTAAAAATAATTTTTTTTTTTTTGAGAAAAGCCACTAAGGTGAATAATTATTGTGCCTACTTGAGATACACATTTCACATAAATGTGAAAGTAATTTGGAGATTGTTTTGGGCTGGAACCTTTGCAACATTAGAGAGATAAAGAGTTTAGCGTCCAAGTTTTGCATGAAGTTTATACATACAGATAGATAAGAGAGAGAGGAGTGTAATATTAGTCATAAGATACAGCAATATTTTTATGTGGCAAATCCTGAAAAGGGAAAAATTATGGCCTGACTTAGTTAAAATGATTATATTTGTGTTTATTATTTATTACAAATGAGTCATTTCCTTGGGGGAAAGGCCTAGGCTCCATATAGTAAATATACATCATATAGAGCAACAGTAGTTGGAGGGACCGTAGTTAATGGGGGATGGACGTCGGAGGGATCATATTTGGCTGACGATGGAGGTTGGAGGGATTGTAGTTAGGTGATAGAGGTCTGATAAACTATAATCGAAGAGCGATAGAGGTCGCATGGGCTGTAGTTGACATACAACGTAGGTCGGAGGGACCATAGTCGACGGGTGATGGAGGTCAGAAGGATTGTAGTCGGCGGGTGACGGAGGTCAGAGGAACCATGGTCAGTGAGTGAGGATGGTGAGAGGATCACAATCACCAGGCAACGGAGGTCAGAGGGATCATAGTTGGTGAACGATGGTGGTGGAAGGGACCACATTCTACAAGTAATAAAGGTCAGAGGGACCACAATCAGCGGGCGATGGTGCTTGGAGGAGTCATAGTGAGCTGGCAACGGTGGTCCTAGTGATCATAGTCAACCTGTGATGTTTGAATGGTCAAGGATGAACATGTGATGCTGATATTTTACGAGTGCAGGGATATTAGACATATTGCAACTTGTTAATTCCAAAACAAATATTTGAGGAAAGGAAGAGGAAAAAGATTCATCATCTAGGTCCGATGATTTTACAAAAAATTGACTATTTGAGTGGTCTAATATTGAAAGATTTGGAAGATTTTTGATGAACTCCACCTCTACAACTCCATTGAAATTGTTTTAAAAGAGAAAGTAGACTAAGTCTTGATATTTGAAATAGTAACTATGCAATTTGCCCTTTTAATTTTTAATGGTTGGTGGCAAACCCAACACATTGCTCTGATAAAGGATAAAACAATAATAAGCCGTGATGGTTGGTTAGAGTCATTTCTCCAATAATTTGAACTCTTTGTAGCTAGCCAAAGATACCTTTTTGAAAAGAATAAAAATATAATTTTATTTTGAACAGAGAAGACGATATTGAAGACATGATTTACTTTTTGAACAACAATCTCAAACACTTCAGTATCGATTCCCTCATTAAGTATGTAATTTACTTTTTTCTTAAATAAATTTCAATCCATTATTCGTTTGGAATTCCCATCCATTATTTTTGTGGAAGAAAAGACGTGCTATTTTGAAAGAAATCAATTATTTTTAAGAATTTTAAAGAGAAAAAAAAATCATTTTTTTTGTCCAATAGTGGAAGACGAGGAGACTTGGAAAAATCTTATTTTCTTTTTTTGTGATGCATGGCAGAAGACTTGAAGACTTTGAAAAAACATTTTTTTGTATCGGATGGTTGAATACGCAATAATAGAAATTGAAGACACGAGAATAGAGATAAACACAAATGTTTACATGAGTTGAAGATTATTATTATTATTATTATTATTATTATTATTATTATTATTATTATTATTGTTGTTGTTGTTGTTGCTGTTGCTGCATATCGGAATTTTTGCTGCGGTAGAGAAATATAAAGTTTAACATCCGAGTTTTATAAGAAAATCCAACACATACATAGATAAACAATAGGGTTGTAGCATTTATAAGAGATACAAGTTTTTGTAAGGAAACCCTTCAAATGAGGGGAAAACCGACAAGGCTTGACCCAATTTGTATAAATACACTAATGTTCGTAGCAGATTACAAAGGAGGCTTTTCCTTGAGTAGAGGGCCTTGGCTTGATGTAACAAATATACACTATATAGAGTGCATTACATGGTGGGAGTTGGAAGAATCAGTGTTGACATGTTCATTTGGTCGGCAGGACCATAGTTGCCAAGTGATGTAGGTTAGAAGAACAATAGTTAGGCGATGATGGTCGCAAGGTTCATAGTTAACTGACAATGAAGGTCCTAAAGACTATAGTCAAGAGATGGTGGTCGAAAAGACTATAGTCTTTGGGTGACCGAGGTAAGAAAGACTCAAGTTAGGTGAAGTTGGTGAGAAAGATCGTAGTTGACGACGAGGAAGGTCTAAAAGGTCGTAGTCGGGTGGTGATGGTCGAAAGGACCGTGGTAGGTGGGAGGGTGGAGGTCTGAAAGACTATAGTTAGGTGGTAGGAAGGATCTTAGTTGGTGGATAATGGAGGTCAGAAAGGCTATAGTCAAAAGATGATAAAGGTTAGAAAGATTGCACTTGAGCAACGATAGTTGGAATGATCGTAGTCAGATGCAATGGTGGGAAGGACCATAGTAAATGGGCGATGAAGATCAGAACGAAATCCACCAACATTCAATGGCCGTGCATAAGTTTGTCAAAAAATGGCGATCGTCCTGAAGTCTAACGAAATTATGGTGATGGTCGGTGGCTGGGTGTAAATTAGACATTAGTTGATGGCTGGGCGGAAGTTAGGAGACAATCGGTGGTCAGGTAGAAGTCTGGCAAAAGTCCGACGACAATCGGTTGTTAGGTAGTGGTCGAGGAAAAGTTTGATGGCAAGAGAAATCTTAGATGTCTTTTTTTCTCCTCTCTTCTCTCTTATTTGCTCCTCCCCCCCCCCCCCCCCCCCCCCCCCCCCCCCCCCCCCCCCAAAATGAAGAATGAACAATCTATTTATTATTTTTTGGGAGTGCCATTATCAGTAAATAGTGAGAAGATCAAGGATATATTGGGTGTATTTTTATTGGACGGTCTATACTGATTCCCTTGATTGTGGATCATTTATTGAATATTTAAAAATCTTAATGATAAAAAAAAAAATTGGTGAACTTGGGCTCGTTGGATTCATCTCGTTGAGCCACTCGATTCGACTACAAGCATGTCATGTTTTTGGAAATCGTTTGGTCATCTTATTTGTGATTTGAACATACCAAAAA